AGATTTTCTGTCAAAATAGTTATTCAACAGCTTAAACTAAAAATAAACAGTGATCACTATATAAAATATACATAATCCATGCATGTGTAATATGTATATATAATTATATATAATTAGTGTATAATTTTTATATACATAATCCATGCATGTACAATATGTATATAATTACATATAATTAGTGTACAATTAATGCATATCGATTAAAAAAATAGACAGTGAATACTATTATTAGTTATTTTGTAAGAAGTACCCATCTTTTTTGTTATTTCCATCAATTTGTGCATTGTAAGTTTGTAACAATAATATTGCAAAACGTTTTGTTGTTTATTTCTTGAGTTGTTGTGACCACCTAATCGTTTTAAGGCATTTGTTAATTATTTTTTATTAACTTGATTTTTCTTTCATTAGATCACTTAGGTATCCTTTAATTATTGGTTGGAAGTAATTAATTATTCATATATTAAAACTAACCTAACTAGCATCATACTTGGTAGTAATATTTTAGTTTTTATACATTCTACCAAACGACCCCTTAATGTTAGTAGAACTTACGTATGTATTATTTGACATGCAGTTTTCAATTACGATCCACACTTTCACAACGTAAGACAAGTGGACAAGAAGAACTACAACGATTGCACTGATCATAACCCAATGGCTAGCTTCAACACGGGCAGCGATACACTCACACTCGAAACACCGGGCATATACTACTTTATGTGTGATATTCCTGGTCATTGTGCATCGGGACTCAGATTTCAAATCAAAATCGATATGCCAAGGGTTCTACCCGCGGATCCAGAAACACCTCATCCTCCTTCTCCTGATCCTTATAAGAGCTTTCCTAATATTCCTGGTTATCCCGCTAAAAATCCTGCTACTTCTAGCAATGCTGGTTCATTATTCAAGTGTATGTGGTCGTGCAAGGACATGTTATTGACTTTGTTTTTTGTTAGCTCTATGTTTTTAAGCATGGTTTAGAAAATAAACTACATATGGCTAGGTCAATTTTTGTTTTTGATGGAGTTAATGGTTGTGTTAGTGTTTATTTTTTTGCATTTGGAAGAGTTATATTGGTAGTCATTTAATAGTATTAACTTATTGTAAGTGAGTTTTGCAATTTGCACCATTTATTGTAATTACTAGATTGAGTGTTGTAGATGAAATCTGGAATTTAATTTATTTTGTATGACTTATTTTACTTGCAGAATTTTCATAAGAGAAAATGTTCATCCACCAAATGTGTGTTTAATATGTAATATTCCTTCTCCCTAATTACTTGTCCACTTTTGAATCGACACACTTATTAAGAAAAACAATGATTGACATAGTGAGTTTACCATTTTATCCCTATTACTTATGAATTGGATGAATTAAAAATTTAAGATTTCCAAAAAGTTCTACTTTTTTTAAATTAATTAATTGAGGGTATAATAGGTAAAAAAAATTTAAGTTATTTCTTTGATTTGTTCAAAAATAGGACAAGTAATTAGGGACAACTAAAAGAGAAAAAGTGGACAAGTAATTAAGATATATATATATATATATATATATTATAGAAGATACAATCAGATACTCACATTCCTTAAAATTAGGATTGATTTAGAGTCTATTTGACATTGCTGCTAAAAATAACTTATTTTTATAAGTACTTTTTCAAAATGACTTTTTAGAAAAGTGCTTCTGAAAAAAAAAACAATATGTATTATAATTCATTTGAAAAGTGTTTTTCATTAGAAAATTGCGTTCGTCTAATTTAAAAAAAAAAAGTGCTTTTAAGAGTCAAATTACAAAAAAGGACAAGTATTAATGTACTTCTAATATTAAAATTATTTTTATAGAGAGAAACTATTTGAAAGAGTATAAATTAAAATGATGTAACAGATATGATCAATTTTTGAAGTGCAAAATTACAGTTAAAGAGTATAAATTAAAATGATGAAATATTTCATCAAAGAACATATGCGGTCGAGTGGTAAAATTATCTTAAGCCATTGGAAATACCTCGATTCGATATGAAGTAGCTACATCTTTTATGTATATTTTTTAAATATCAGTTTTAAAAACCAGTGGACAAGGTCGCGGTTGTTCTCACGACCCAGACCATCGTTATTGGTACCCACACTAACCCTCCGGTGGAAGAACCACTACTACAATCCAAACCAAGCAACTAAAACAAAAACTAAAGCATTAAGGATACGAAACAAGTTAAATACTAAAGAAAGAAATAAGGAGTTCCCATAAATTCCAAACGAAAGTCTATCAACTAAACAAATGCGGAAATAATACCTAGAACCTGACAGTCAATGTACCAAAACATCTAAAGTTCAACAAGTCTAAACAAGAAGGGATACAACACTAACTAATGAACTAATCAACTAATTAGAAAAGTCTAAGTCCGAAATGGTGGACATAGACGAAAGAGAACCCATGGCAGCTCGGAAGAACTAGCACACCCTTGAGTTCGAAAACGGTCACGAATCTTCTAAGCGAGGTTTGTCAATAGCCGCCGGAAGATGCCCTGTACTTAACAAAAATAAGAGCAAGTGCAATATCAGTACACAACCACAGTGTACTGGTAGGCTCACGCGGCTATCCCACTAAGTGTAACATAAGCAAGCCAATACAATATTATAAACACATGCATATATCGAACATAAACAATATTATCAACATTTATGAACAACGAACAACTTCACATTTCTCAAATACACAATTATGACAAGTTATTGCTCCTCTCATGGAAACCAAACCCAAATAGTTAGCATACCAAAACGTGGTACCCGATCCAATGTTTATGCCGGAACGTGGCAACCGATCCCATAATTATGCCGAAACGTGGCAACCGATCCCAATTAGTTATCTCGGAACGTGGCAGCCGATCCATTCAACACACCACAATCACAATCACAAGTATATCCTCAAGATCATACAATGAAATCATGATTTTATGGTAACGATCATTCATCTATCTCATTTACAACAAATGTGATCAATAATGCAACATTCATATACATACATGTATCATAATGAAGCAAGAACAAACATACAACACACAATCATAGAATCACAACCAACCTACCTCGAAACAAGCTTGAAACCCTAAGAAACTTGATCCTTCATTTTTCTGGATTCGTTCCGCTTGTTCTTGGTCTACAAACAATCAATACAATACGGGAATCAATAACAATCACTAATTACCCGAATTGCTATCAATTCTATGAATCCTAGATCAAACCCATGATCCCAAGTATCCAAAATAGGGTTGTTTCCACCATATAATCTAGATAAAAACCCTTCCCCATCGATAATTACCCATTCTAATACATCTACGGATCGAAAAACAGATTCGTGGAGTGAAAAACTTACCTTTAGCCTCAATAATGGTGATAAACTATCAAGAGTCGCCTGGGGTTCGTTCCTTAGCTCTAAAAATTGAAAAGTGCAGAATAAAGTCGTTTATGGGTTTTTTTACGACTTTAAGTCGTGTCTGGCCCGCCACAGCGGTCCTCACCCCACTACAACGGCCCCGCCAGAGCGACAAAACCCAGCACCAAAGCGGCTTGCACGAAACAGCGAACTATTTTAATAATTACAAGACCCCCATTTCACAACACACCTCTAACCAACAACACTCAGAAAATCTCCTTCATGCTAAGACCGATTTCGGGAGTTTTACTCGCTTGAATTCAATTCTGTAAAGTCGTACGGATTCCTTAACGACTTATCTAACTACTCATGTAATAAAAATCATAATTTAATCACCCGATTGCTACCAGATTTCCCTACACCTCAATGATTCCGATTTCGTCCAAAACTGGACTAGATTGGGAAATTTCAAGTTACTACGAAAAAGTTTCCGACCCAAAAATTTTCCCCGTTGGCTTTTCTATAACGACGGAACTCGGTCGTTACAGTTTTCCCTCTCTATTTCCTCTAAAATTGACCGTTTTCGTCAATTTTGACCCATTTTTTAGTAGTGTGTTATCAGTCCCTTTATAAAGTTTTTTATTTGAGAGAAGTATAGTTCATATTACCTCTCCTAAAAAGAGTTAGACTCAACTTAAGAGGTGTATTCTAATTAATACAATGGGAAGATTAACTTACACTATAGTTATATAATAATATTAACTCTACATTAATACTTGTAACGTCACATTTGTATTGATACTTTAACTCTTAGATTACTTATTTTGTATTTTTATGTGTTGTGCGCGTATGCATTTTCATCACTTACCATTGTAAAATATTAGTGCAAGGAAACTCACGCATGAAATTTAATTCCAATTTGAAAGGATATGAATCTAATATTTATTTGACCAATATAGATTGTGGTGCAGTGATGGGACTGCTCCATCCTTAATCAGAGGTTTCAGATTCGAGTCCTGAATATGAAGAAAATCTTGTTGGAGTGGCACCCCTGAATGACCCTGCAGTGCGCGATCCAGACTTAGTCAGGGCCCTGAACACCGAATGAAAAAATAAAAAAAATCCAATAGTAATTTGTAAGTCGTCATATGCTTAAGGGGATATTCTCCATCATAGATATATGCTTCTCTTAACAACTTGATTTTCTTTTGATTTATCGGGAGATAAAATGATTTTCATCGCCCTATTTTATATGACAACTACACTCTATCAAGAGAAAATGTTTTTTCTCGAATCAAAGATAAGATCAATTTTTGAAACTTGAAACACATTCGAGTAATTGGTATCCAATTGAAAGATATATAACATATATTTCCAGGAGCGTGTGATCAATGAGAGAAAGAGGTGAGGAATTCTCTTACGATTCCCATAGAGGCATTAAATCATCTGCTAAATCACTACAACTAAAGAGATATTTAATAACAATAAATTTTTCTTTTAATTTGCCACAAAAATGTAAGTCAAACAAATTATCATAGTCACCAATATATGCTATTTATAATGGTGTCAAGGTAGAGAGGAAAAACAAAAACTATATGGAAAACTAAACATTGAAACAAATACCTAAAATCTTAAAATGTCAAAAAGAAGCAAAATTCAAGAATGGCAATGATGGTGATCAACAACATGAAACAAAGGGGTGATGCAACAACACTTGCACTTCCTTGTGAACTTGTTCCAACAATATTTATATGAAATTTCTGACCAATTTGGCAATGGCCAGGATTTCCACAAACATAGTAATAATCACCATAGGCTTGAAGAGTAATAGAGTCTTTGCCAGTGTTGAATGTGGCAATTGGATTTGTAATTGTGCATGATTCATATTCTTGCTTACTCACTTGCATCACATTGTGGTACTTGTTGTTGTAGTTGAAAACTGCACATTGAATGAACACACCTCAATTAGTCCATAGAAAATTTTAAAGTGTTTGGTGACTAGATGAGCATAGAAAACACGTTTGACCATAAAATTTTAAAATTTTTAAGAATTTGAAAAATATCAAAAAGGTATACTTTTTTTTTTACTCTGAATAGGTCAAACCAACTCTAATTTGTATTTATCACTTCAATTTTCAAATATCATTTCACTTTAAAAACAAAAGCTATTTTATTTTTTCAAAATTCATAATGAAACATGGTTAAACGCCCACTAAATTCTCTATGCAATTAAAGTTTGTGTCTAATTCAATATAAATTATCTTTCTTTGTTTGTTACTCCCTTTATCCCCTCGAGTCTCTTACTTTCCTTTTTAGTTTGTCTAGAAAAGGGTGTTTATTTCTATATTTAGTAATGATGGAAACAATTAGCATCTATTATAATATGGAGAATCATTCATATGTGCAAAAGTTTATATATAAAAAAAATAGTATTTTGAATCCTAATTATCAATTATAGCAATAACTTGGCTAATTATCAAACATAGTAATGGTTCAGTGTCGCTTTGTATTTGTTCTGTATGATATAGAGCATGAATTGATGATACAAAGCAAATTAATACACTGATATAGAGCAAATCAATACAACTCCAACCAAATCAGATAACATTCAAACTCACACGATATATAATATTTTTAAACTCTCACCATTTTAAATAAATACATAATACATATTTATTTGATCAGATATAAGATGAAGGCTATTGAATTTTAGAAACGTAATTAATCAAAACAAGTTATGAATATAGTTGCATTAAGCAATTTACTTGGAGGATTAAAGTCAGCATAAAACAAGGGACATAAGTCGTCGTACATCAAGTCCTTATTTTCCTTATAACAATCACGTTATATTATATATTCTCGATAACAATTAAAAAATATTCTGACAAAATAATATCATTATAAAGATATTTGAAACATGAAAAAATAGAAGATATTATTGCGTACCTAAGATGTCATTAACATGAAAATTCTTTGTAGAGGCCCATTGACTATAGTCAATATTGCCTATAATCCAACCTTGAGAATCACCAACTTCATGAACAACCGCTGTTGTGGAAGCAACCATAATTGTAATAAAAGATAGAAATATTATTGTTATTTTTGTGAAACCCATTTTTGAGAGAATTTTGTAAATACTAATAATATTGTTAATAATTGCAATGACTCGTTTAAATAATTGTCCGAAAATCGATTATATTTTTTTTTTGAAAAAATGTCTTTTTTTTCAATCTATGGAAATTAATACGCTAGAAAGGACATTGTGTGTAATAAGTACAAAAACATCATATAAAAAAAACTATTTTACTAGGAATTAAGTAGATTATATTATTTGGAATTTTTTTTAAAAAACTTATGGAAATTTAATACAAAGGAAATAATGGCATAAATTACTTGTATGGGAAATAATTGTCCAAAATTATTTCCAATTAATAAAGTTTGTCGTACTTGGGGCCTCTTGGCTATTTAAACTCTTGAAATTATTTTTGGTCAACTACAATAATTTAGTAAAAAGGGAATTTTCAACATTTTGAAACTTTGATTTGACGTACAAATAAAGAAAAAAGGAAAAAAACTCCGTGAATTTAAAAAAACCCAAGAATGGTAAGTTTTTTTTTGTTTTTTTTTCGAACTTCAAAAGTACTTGGAAATTATATGTCCAAAAGTACTATTCATGTTTCCTTGAATTTTATAAAAGGCAATTAACTACTCCTATAAAAGCATCCCTTGAGAACCTCATAGACTCATTGTTCAAATCAATTCAAACTCAGACGTCTTAATACTTGGTTAGTGTTAAAGTGTATAGCTATGACTTTCTTTGGAAAAGCAATGTTGGTCGTGTTGGTGGTGATGATGGCTGCTTCGGGATCCGCTATGGCTACTGTGTATCAAGTTGGTGATCTTGCAGGGTGGACATTCAACTACAATTACAATGAATGGGCTTTTTTCAAGCAATTTCAAGCTGGTGATACCCTAGGTAAGATATCTTAGTCATCATCTTGAAATTGGATTATATGTAGTACTAAAAGTATGTAAAACTTTAAACATCTAAGTGAGTTTTAATAAAATGTTAAAGTAGAAGGTAGTCAAATAAAACATCTACTTAAAAAACTGGATTTAACAACGAACAAATTTTGTAGCTAAACAATAAAATAATGGCATTTTTTTTGTTAGCAATGGACCAATGACGAAATTCCTAGCTAATGTTTTTTAGTAGTGCAATCGATCAATGTTTCATGTACATTGTCAATTAAGACACACATAAATCAGCTAGTTTCTCATTGAGCTTTGTTTTTTTTTGCAACTACAAAAATGTTTACATTGTTGAATTGAATAACAAAAATTTTAAACGCCAACACATTTATTAATTCATATGTATAAATTGAGATGCAAAGTTACAATAGGTTCAACTACATCCAATAGATCCATAAAGAAGGTATGAATCATCAAATGTTGTTGGATAGGTTTGAAGAAGAAGACAAGAGAAAAATACTACAAGTTACTTTTGATGGGCAATCAATCCTTTTTAATTCATGCTTTAGTAATAGAAAGTTTGAGGCTGGTAACTCAACTTTCTTCTTGATTGACATATTTTTACATTATTTAAGCATCCTCATTTGTAATATCATCATGGGGTGTATTACAAACTCTGTGATGATCAGAAAATATTTAGTTCTCTCTAGCTCTTATTTTCTTCATGCTTTCTTCATGCTTGTTAGGTAGCAGAAGTTAGGTACTTCATTAGGATTAGTAAGGTAAGACCTAGCCCCCCTTGCTTGTACTTGTCTCTATTGATATTTTTTATTATTAATAAAAGACCGCTAGACAGTGTCTAGTGGTAAAAAAAAAATTAAAAAATAAAAATAAATGCAAAGTTACAATCTTAACTTTATAAATGTTAAAATCTAAAATTGGATTACTTAGACACATCGAGTAAATTATTGAGTTATGTCAAACTCTGATAGATCTTTTTATGCAGTTTTCAATTACGATCCACAATTACACAACGTGATGCAAGTTGACATCAACGACTACAACTCATGCACAGCTAGTAATCCACTTGCCACCTTCAACTCTGGCAGTGATTCAATCACCCTCGACACTCCTGACGGAGACTACTTCTTCTTGTGTGGAATTCCTGGTCATTGTGCATCTGGACTCAAAATACACATCAAAGTTAGTCCAACTACAACAACAACTCCTCCTCCTCCTCCTACAACGATGAATAATCGTTATCCTGATCATTTTCCTACAAATCAAACTAAGAAACCTTACTCTTCTGCAAGCACTACTGCTTATTCACTCAACATGTTATTTATATTGTTTCTTCTACCCATGGTTTAGACATTACACTGCAAGATTTCATATAGTTTTTTTTTTTTTGTTTTTCTTAATTAGGTTTATTTTTGTCTGGAATGGATCTTTCTTTTGTCCATTTGATTTGGAAGTTTTTGGTAGTTATTTAGTATTAATTGTAAGTGATTTTTCTACCAATTTATTAAAGACAATTTTAGATTATGATTTATAGTTAGTTACTATTGTTAATAGTATTTTGTATTTATTTAATGACCTATTTAAGATGTTTGCATTACTTCTTTAACTAAATGGCTAATGTCTAGTATAGGGTTGTAATTGGGTGTTTTTATCCTCGTAAAATCTTGAGAGCATGGAACGACACTCACTACAATAAAAATAACTTTTAGTGGCAATAAATATGCGAGTTCTGAACTTTCACCTTGTTAGTTAGGGTTCAAATCCTCCGCCTTGTAATCTCACTACAACAAAAAGGATTTTGCGGCAATTATGTAATATGAGTATTTTTAACCAACACTCTATATAAATATCGCTGAAGCTTTAGCTATATGGATGCAATGACATTAACTTGATTGCCGTTAAAAGTTTTTACAACAATAAATATTGCCGCTAAAAGTAAAATCCATAGTCACAAAGGCCTCATGTATTTGCACTTAATGAGGGTCTTAATCTTAATCATTCAGATCTTAGTGATTAAGTTTATTTTCAAATTTGTTTTAAATGTTAGATTAAGACGAGTTTAAGTAGACAAATTAAATAAGTAGACGAGTTTAGTGATATGAGGCATCAACTCTCCTTGAATCATATCCATGATTCTCTTGTACCCGATCAAGTTGTTTAACGTAGCTTGTTTGCTTTTGTATATGTTCTCTCACCTCTTCCAACTTATTCTTCATCTTCAACTTCTCATTGTTGTTTCTTGACGAAGACATCTTTTCCTAGCTTTTGATATTATATGTCAAACTGCAATATGTAACATAATTAAATAGATTAATTCAAAACTAAATCAAAATACGTACATTAACAATTATTTTACTTTTCTTATGTCAAAACATATTGATTTTGTCCATGCATGAATGTACTATAAACCTCTCCAACCTTCATATAAACAAAAAATTAAATAAACACAAAGAAAATCAACATTATTAATTGCAAAGCAACTTACGCTTTACTTTGTGAAAGAGGGCACTTCATATATTGTTTTGCATATTCTCTATTTGTTTATATAGATGTCACTTTTCAATTCTATTTTTTTTACTTTTTTTTTTACTTTAATGTGTCAATTGAAAATATTACTAAAAACGAAAATTACCATATGGTAGATAGAAAAAATATATACGATTGAAAAGCATCATGCTAGGAAAACACTTGGAAATATAATTTTAATAAATTAATTGTTAGAACTTAGAATAAAAATCAAAAGAAAGGTCGCCATGAAATAAGGAAATAGAAATGTGAGACTTTCTTTTTCATGACTTGTAACATAATATCAACGTTTTAAAAAAACTTTCCTTCCCAAAACCCAAGTAAATTGTCTTAAAAGGTTTTATTTTAAAAATATATATATTTTAAGAAAACATTTGTAGGAGACTTAGTTTGCAGGATCATTGAGTGTTGTTTCACTAGTCAGAAAGTGCAATCACATGCATATAAACAGGAAGTACACTATATAAAGCCACAGTCTAAAATCGTACCTATTACAGTTGTTCGTTCCATCACTTTTTGGAGAAGAAACCTTCAAAGTATATTCACACTAACTTTAATAGAATTGGAGAAGGAAGAAGGAGAAGAAGCAGAAGAAGTGTTTGTTCTTTTTGGAATTGTAGAGAATGAAGAGTTTTTTTTTTTTATTTCTCCTGTGAGAACCCTTTTTATAATTATGAAGGGGCACGACTATTCACATTCTTTTGGGCGGCCAATCGCAATCGTCTTCGTGGGCGTCGACAAGACAAATAGTGGATCTTTATTATCGAATGATATGGGAAGTACAGTCAGTCTCTGACTTCCTTCCCCTATTTTTTTTATGCATTTCATTCTCTATTTGGCCCGCTTTAAACAAAATGAGAAAAAAGGGTCCGGTCAATAGCATAGCATCTATTCAAATAGGTGTGCCTCTTCTGAAATACATAATTATATATATATATCTGTTTTCTTCTCACATGGATCCAGGTTGACCCGATCCAATTTCTTTTATCTCCCGCTCACCATAGTGGGTCAACTCTTACTCCTATTCTGTAACTTTCATACATTACGACTAGATTGTGTGGCCAGTGCATATTTTGAGAGCTTCGTTGCTATACATCTGTTAGGAATATATAATATCTCGATCAATGAAACTTAGAGTAGATTATAGTATGCAGTACCTTAGATCATTTATCACATTCATATTTCTCATCATCTCTTTTCTTAATTTTTGAGTTCATCATTATGTACTTGTCTCATATAGACAAATATAAAGGACGTCAATGAACACAATTGATGTGATAATATCAAATAATCTTCATCATCTCATGAATCTCTTAATCTCAACATAATATGCTTTTCTAGAAATGTCCCGCTAGACCGAATCTAACATGATCTCTTGGCAATATACTAAGATAGAAAACACCAAATTGAATCTCAAGAAACTAATTAAAGTCACTAGGGTACAATATGAAAATTACTTTTGGGCTTCACACGAGAGCAAGTAGAGACTAAACTTGTATCGCCCTATGAATCACTATGTGCATACATGGTATGAAACATGTACCACAGTGCTGACTCCTTTCACAGGGAGCCTATGCCTTTTATTAATTATATACTTTGATGATTATATTTCAGACTACCCATGTAAAACTTTGAGTTCACAAATCTACTCATCATTTTATTCTTTAGAATTCACATTTGGCATTAGAAACAAACTTACTCATTTTAATCACATATGATTAAACACAAACTAACAAATGACATTCTGATTATAAACTTTCAGCTATTTATTTTTTTATCACCAATTCTGGTAATAATTAGTTTATAATTGTCTCATCTCTACTTGTCACTTAGATAATAGAGGTGATTGCCTGTGCAAATAGGTCAATCTTTTTGTCTGTTTAACATTCTTTTTATCCTCGAAATTTTATGTACACTGCATAAAAATGATATACGTATATAAATCAACAAGAATGAAAAATTAGGCATAAACCAACATTAACTTCAATAATGTGAATTTACATGAACATGCTGGGGAAAAATAAAGTATAAATACATCAACATTTACATAAATCCAATGACTTCACATGTCTCTCATAAGCATTACAGGCTATGTATTTCGTTAAGGGATCTGCTGTCATTTGATGCGTAGATATGTATTTCATATTCACTTCCTTTTGTACGACCATGTCTCTTACAAAATTATACTTTATGTCCATATGTTTCGTCTTCCCATGGTACTTTGGATTCTTTGTGTAGGTTATTGCAGCCTGACTATTTCAATTGATTGTGACAGACTCAACAACATTGTTATACACACCCAAGTGAACTAGAAAACGTTTAAACCAAATAGCTTCTTGCACAACAGATGAAAGTTCTACGAATTCATCTTTTATTGTAGATAAGGATATATATATATATATATATATATATATATATATATATATATATATATATATATATATATATATATATATATATATATATATATATATATATATATATATATATATATATATATATATATATATATATATATATATATATATATATATATATATATATATATATATATATATATATATATATATATATATATATATATATATATATATATATATATATATATATATATATATATATATATATATATATATATATATATATATATATATATATATATATATATATATATATATATATATATATATATATATATATATATATATATATATATATATATATATATATATATATATATATATATATATATATATATATATATATATATATATATATATATATATATATATATATATATATATATATATATATATATATATATATATATATATATATATATATATATATATATATATATATATATATATATATATATATATATATATATATATATATATATATATATATATATATATATATATATATATATATATATATATATATATATATATATATATATATATATATATATATATATATATATATATATATATATATATATATATATATATATATATATATATATATATATATATATATATATATATATATATATATATATATATATATATATATATATATATATATATATATATATATATATATATATATATATATATATATATATATATATATATATATATATATATATATATATATATATATATATATATATATATATATATATATATATATATATATATATATATATATATATATATATATATATATATATATATATATATATATATATATATATATATATATATATATATATATATATATGACTGCTTCTTGCTACTCCATGATGTGGCACCATCATTAAGCAAGAATGCATATCTGGAAGTGGATTTTCTCTCATTTAAATCTCCTCCCCAGTCAACATCAGTGTAGCCTCTAAGTTACAGATCATTTCCTTGATAACATAAGGAATAGTCGGTTGTGCCTTTGAGATACATCAATATCCTTTCAACTACTTTCCAATGTTGCGGTCCTGGGTCAGATTGATATCTTCTAACTAACCCAACGGCATAACAAATATATGATCTAGTACACATCATAGCATGTATAAGACTTCCGACTATATTAGCAGAAGGAAATTTTCTCATTTGTTCCTTATCAAATGGAGTTTGAGGGGACATCATTCGGCTCAAAATTCACTTTTAGAAACTGGAGTGTTTATGGGTTTGCAATCTTGCATATTAAAGCGTTCAAGAACTTTCTTAATATAAGGTTCTTGTGAGAGAGATAAAAATCTCTTAGAAAGATCTCTTGAAATCTTAACTCCAAGAATATATGTTGTTTCACCCATATCTTTCATC